GTTTCGCCCAATACATTCAGAGCATACAATATTATTAAGTTCAAATATAATCTTGAACTCCTTCTATTTGATGCCCAATAGAACTGTAATTTTGCTATGGTTTCTGGTTTCGGAGCTGAACACTATCAAAGCCATCCTTCATTCCTGCATCAAATTATATGTCATTTCTTTGTACTTATCTGTGATAATATGACCATTCTGCAATGCCTTTTGTATTTTTTTAGCCCATTTGAATTTTTTTAAGATGTTATGACAATTGCGCACTGCCTTCTTTAATGTACAGGGTGTAAACGTTATGGTATTCATTATTGAAATGGGTAATGAAGAAGTCAAAAATTTCATATGACCCATGGTCCAAAAGTCAATAGATTTTTGTCTAAATGGCTTTATAGTTTACAACTTCAAGTGCTTTACATCGGCCACAATCACCACAATCTTACTAGTTTTTATAATCTAATCTGAAACGTTTTTAAATTGGGTAACTAACGAATATATGGCATTAAGTTTTTCTAAGTTAAGCCAAAATTTGTAGTCAATATGTAAGTTTCATTAGATTAAATATTTAAAACACACATGACAACAGCGCGTCGGTCATTCATCACTCTTATCGACCCGGCAATCGATCGCAGCAAACGGTAACAGTGGTTAAAGTTGGACCAGCGAAAGATTGCAAGCCGAAAGAATGCGGACAAAAAATTGCGAAGTTGTCAGATGTTCTACATAAAATGCGGTCCATACATATTAACATATTTAAGATATAGAATTGTTCCGCTGAATTTGGCAATGTAGCTGGAAAACCCAGGCCGCAGGTAAACATCCGGTCGCTGATTGGTCCAAAACTCTTATCTTATCTGAAACTAGAATAACGTGCCGATGGCACGGTCATTTATAAACCTACTCCCATAGGCGTAGGCAGTTGGCAAATACTTTGAAAATATAATTTACTGTTTAGTGGTGATAATGGAATTCAAGCATGGGAAAGTTATTCACAGCCAGGCAAGGGAAATAATAGCAAACGTGATACGTGCTTGCGATGCAGAAGCGGCTAACAATACTTTCGTTTATCCACTGGTAGCTAGAAATGCAAGGGCGGCATATTATACGGGTGTTAGTGAACGAACTATAAGTAAAATTAGAAAAGAAGATAAAGACAGGCAAAATGCAACCTCCACACAGCCTTTAGCTTCTCCCGGAAAAAAGAGATCACGCCCTTCTGTGATCCAAAAAATTGATGGAGTCGATTTTTCCATTATTCGGAGAATGATAGAAAAATTTTACTGTGATTTTAAAGTGGTACCTACTTGTAGTAAACTTCTAATCAAACTGAAGGAAGAAATGGAATTTCCATTTGGTAAAGAATCGTTGAGGCTGCTTTTAAAAGCAAAAGGATTTTACTGGCGTAAATGCCACAACAAAAGGAAATTACTAATGGAAAGACCCAGTATTTTACATTGGCGATACAAGTATCTTAGGTCTATTAAAAAGTTCCGGGAAGAAGGAAGGCATATTATTTATTTGGACGAAACTTGGGTTGATAATGACCTCACTTTCAAGAAATGCTGGCAAAGCGAAGAAATTATGGGTGTCCTGAGCAATATAAGTTCTACAGGTAATAAAGTTTCTTTCACCTCGATTTTGCTTATTATACATTTTTCTCAATTTTGGAATATTCTTAATAAGTGCTCATTTAATTTGTCTAATTGAATACATAATCCCTTGCAAGTATTTTTTTCTCAAAAATATGTTTTTTATACATAGTGATTCAAAAAGGTGTTGGCAAACTTAAAATAACACTAAAATGAGGCTATTTATTCATTTCCAGGACGACTTATAATTGTTCATGCGGGTTCGCAAGATGGTTTTGTTCCTGGAGCCTGTCTCATTTTCAAGGCTGGCTGTGCCACTGGTGATTATCACGGTCAAATGAACCAAGAAAATTTCACGAAGTGGCTTACTGAAAAACTATTTCCTAACATTCCTCCTAATAGTATTATAATAATGGATAATGCACCTTACCATTCAGCTTTGGAAGACAAGCCTCCAACTAGATCTTCTCTAAAAAGAGACATCATCACGTGGTTGAGCAAAAAAGGTATAGAGCATGATCCTAATGCTAAAAAAATGGAGCTTTATGAAATAGCTTGTCTACATAGGCCACCATCTGATGAGAAAAATTATAAGATAGATAATTTAATAAGAAGTTTCGGACACACCCCACTTCGAACGCCACCCTATATGTGTCAGTTTAATCCCATAGAGATGATTTGGGCACAAGTAAAATTTTTCATTAGAAGCCATAATACAAGCGGCGAATTTACTATAAAAAAACTAGATGAAATTTCTAATAAGGCCATCGCTTCAGTAAGTGCCAGTGACTGGCAAAAGGTTATTGGACATGTTATAAAAATTGAAGATGAATATTGGGAAAAAGACAGTCTCATTCAAGAAATACAGGAAGAAATAATAATCAACATAGGAGGTGAAAGTGATAGCAATGACAGTTCCTCAGACAGTGATCATGACTCTAATCAGGATTGAAACTATACTAGATTGGCTACCTTTTAGAATTTTTAGATATTCATTTATTATACTATTGGAGTAGATACTGGTGCACTCTGGGCGCCCCCCACCACTTCCACTTTTTGGCCACGCCCACCACATCCACCGCGTGCTCTGATTGGCGGATCAAACGGCGGGAAATTTGAACGGGGTTGATGGTATATGTTGATTGGCGGGAACCGCTAGATCCACCGCGTGCTCTGATTGGCGGATCAGACGGCGGGAAATTTGAACGGGGTTGATGGTATATTTTGATTGGCGGGAACCGCTAGATCCACCGCGTGCTCTGATTGGCGGATCAGACGGCGGGAAATTTGAACGGGGTTGATGGTATATGTTGATTGGCGGGCTAGCTGCCGCACCCGACCGGAAGTGATTCAGACAGCCAACGATAGTAAGGTGTAGTATAACGTCTATGCGTAAGTGATGTGACTCATTTCATGTTTTGCGGTAAATATTTGCATATAGATCGATAAAAGCCGATGAATACTGGTAATTATAGATGCAATTCTGCGGATTCAGTTTAATTGGAAAAACGTATAAAATTCGCGGAGAACAATGCGTATAGGATGATCTCAATAGTCAACACGTCATATTCAGTGTGCATATAAAAATGGAATTGCTCATATGTGGTGCATACAGTTAATGTTAGTTAATTTTTAACATTGATACAATATTGAAAACATAGTACAGTCTATATTGTGTATCTAATAGATTCCAACAAGGCAATCACCTACGTCGCAAATGAGGTTAGGTTCAGCGCCGGTGTAGTCGTAGCTGTGATATGCAAGAAGTACCGGGCGGGGCTGTCAAGCATGGGTGAATGGGCAGGGAGCGCAGGCTGTCAACTAGTTAATACCGGCCAGCGGTGACCTTGGAACACTGTGGTCAGTTAAAAAGTGGTGGGGGTATAATTGAGATTATAAATACCTATGAATCATCGCAAATTATCTTGTCAGTTAGCTACAGCGAACAAACGTGCTCAGTTCAGATTTAGTCGCTAGTTAACGTTTTAGTTTTTAAAAAAATGGAAAAATTCTTCATCGTTAAGGATTCTACTAAGAAGATTAAAAAATTTAATCTATATGGGCGAGAAGTGGAATTTAAAATACGACCTATCCCTAAAGACGTCGAACCTGTGGGATGGATCAAAGACGCTCTGGAGGAAATAGTAGCCAAAGGAACTGAACATCTCCAGCCCAGTGATCAAGTTGGATTCACTTTCTGTTCCAAAGACTTTACCCGCGGTCAAGGGTGGATAGCTTTTAAATCGTTATCCGACGTTTCAAATGAGGACATATGGGAGAAGATATCTTCCATCTATCAGTCAAATTCTGTGGGGTTGAATACCGAGACTTTTTGCTTGGGAGTTACGTCCATAAGGTTGCCTGCTGGTCGTGGTAGAGGTCAGAATTTCAATACTTTTGATGAGGAATGCGCCAAAAGAAGAGGTATTATCACCGTTAAAAACACCGATAATTTGTGTCTCCCACGAGCCCTTGTCATCGCCATGGCCCATTTGAACAAAGACAAAGATTATAGCAGAATCCGCCTCGATCGAGGAAAAATACAAGGACAAAGAGCTGCACAACTTGTGGAAAAGGCTGATATTGTTATCCCTGAGGAGGGGTGTGGAATACCTGAACTTCAAAAGCTACAACGATATCTGCAAAACTACAAAATTGTTGTATACAAGTTTGGGTGCAAAGGTCGTGACGTCATTTTTGAAGGCGTGTCCACTGGTTCGACGCTTAACCTAATCTATCACGAGGGGCACTACAGCGTCATAACATCCCTCACTGCTGCCTTTTGCTGCAGCTATTTTTGTGAGAACTGCCACATTCCGTATAATAATAAACAAATTCATAGATGTGATAAACAATGTTATGCTTGTAAAAGATCTCCGGCCTGCCTGAAAACGAAGCACATCGAATGCAAAGAATGTAATAGAAGCTTTTATGGACAAGAATGTTTTAACGCTCATTTACCATCGGTCTGTTCTAAAATTAAAAGATGTGTAGACTGTTTTAAAGTTCACAACGGTAATGATCACATCTGCGGACATATACTTTGTAAAACATGTTATAAAAATCAACCAATTGAACATATGTGCTATATACAGCCTGACAGAAGTATTCCAAAATCAAATGATGTCTTATTAATATTTTACGATTTGGAAACCCGTCAGGAGAAGGAATTACCCAACGGATCTTTACTTCATGAGCCAAATCTATGTGTATTCAAACAATGTTGTGAATCATGTACCGATAATCCTATATGCAAGAAATGTGGCCTTCGATTACAGATTCTTCGATGTCAAGACGTCATTTCTCCATTTATGCATCATATTCTGACACTTCGTAAAAAATTCAAGAAAGTCATTGTACTGGCGCATAATGGTGGAGGATTTGATCATCAGTTTCTACTTCGTTACATTTTAGAGAAGACTAGTCTGTACCCAAATGTAATTATGAGAGGAACAAAATTAATATTGATGGAGGTAGGAAATGTAAAATTTCTGGATTCTCTCAATTATTTTCCTATGCCTCTAACTGCTCTACCCAAGGCGTTTGATTTGAAAGAGCTAAAGAAAGGATACTTTCCACATCTATTCAACACTTTGGCTCATCAGAATTATCTAGGGCCAATTCCAGCGCTCGACTTCTACGATCCCGACCATTTAAAAGAAGACACTCGAGAAAAATTATTAAAATGGCATGGCAAAAGACAAGCGGAGGGATACGTTTTTGATTTTCAGAAAGAAATCGTTGAATACTGTATCTCCGATGTGGAAATATTGACACAGGCGTGTCTCAAATTTCGAGACCTGATGAAAACCGAAACCACAGTCGATCCCTTCCAGGAAAGCACCACTATTGCATCATGCTGTAACAAAGTCTTTAGACGCAATTTTTTAAAACCTGAGACGATCGGGGTAATTCCAAAAGGGGGCTATAGATGGCGTGAAAATCAGTCAAAAATTGCCATCCAATGGATGTTGTGGGAGGAACATCAAAGAGGAATCAAAATTCAACACGCCGCTAAGGGTATAGAAACCATTGTTAAGGGACATAAAGTAGACGGTTTTTGTAGCGACACAAATCAAGTGTTTGAATTCCAAGGATGCTATTTTCACGGTTGCCCTCGATGTTTCAAATACAACAGAAGCAATCCTCTGCATAATGATCCGTTGAATACATTGGAAAGTCGATACGAACAATCAGTTAGCAAAGTAGAGAGACTCCGAAGCCTTGGACTAGAAGTAATTGAGATATGGGAATGTCAATTTCGAGGAATGCTAAACGATGAAATTAGAGCCTTCACAGAAGCACATCCATTGATAATCAATTTACCGATTAACCCCAGAGACGCTCTCTACGGGGGACGTACAGAAAATATCGTTGAATACTACAAGATCAAAACAAATGAATGCATAAAATATGTCGATATATGTTCCCTGTACCCCTTCATCTGTAAATATGGAAAATTTCCGGTGGGTCATCCAAAAAAAATTTACGTAGGTGAAGAATGTGTTACAGCCTCTCTGTCGCAGATGTCAGGACTTATTAAATGCCAGATTCTACCGAACCAGAACTTATATCACCCCGTTTTACCGTCAAAAATGAACAACAAATTGATGTTTGTTAACTGTCAAAAATGTGGTGAAGATTTCGTTCGAGAAGAGTGTCAGCATTCTATTCAAGAAAGAAGCCTAAAAGGAACTTGGGTGATAGAAGAGGTGCTCAAAGCTATTGAAAAAGGTTACCAAATTATAGAGACTTACGAAATATGGGAATACGATACAATTCAGCTCAGTAAAGACCAAGAGGGGTTATTTAGCGGAATGATGAACAAGTTTCTACAAATAAAACAACAAGCTTCAGGATGGCCCAAACATTGCTTAACGGATGAAGAAAAAAACCGTTATATTGATGCATTTTTGGATACAGAGGACATAAAGCTGGAATTTTCAAAAATTATAGAGAACCCCTGTTTGAGATCGTTAGCTAAACTTATGCTGAATTCTTTTTGGGGTAAATTTGCTCAAAAAGAAAACCAAAACAAAACCTCGATAGTCAGAGACTGTGGTGAATTCTTTGATATGCTGACTAATCCTTCTATTCATGTAAATACAGTTCTCCCGGTAAACGAAGAAACCCTTCTCGTAACTTGGGAATTTAGAGAAGAGGTGTATGACGTTTCTTCAACGGTTAACGTTGTATTGGCTTCATACGTCACGGCCCTAGCTAGACTAAAATTATATTCATTCTTGGAGAAAGTGGAAGAAAGGGCAGTTTACGTAGATACAGATTCATGTATTTATATCTCTCGTAAGGGATTAGACGACATATCTACAGGCGACTTCATAGGTGATATGACCGATGAGCTCAATGGGGGTTTCATATCAGAGTTTGTTTCTGGAGGACCTAAGAACTACGCCTACAAATATACTACTTTGTCTGGAGAGGAACAGATCGTATGTAAAGTAAAAGGCATATCACTCAACTACAAGGCATCCCAAGTGGTCAATTTTGAGAAAATAAAAGACATGGTGCTGAAGAAATCTGTTCCTGTTTCTGTACTTTCTCGACAGCTACGACGTACAAGAGAGCATGCAGTAGTAACAGTCGAGTTTCCTAAGGTATACAAGATAACTTCAATGAAAAGGAAATTCTATGCAGATCATACCTCTGTACCATTTGGATTTAAGAAAATAAAATATTGATTTGTTAATGTATGTAAATATTTTTTAATAAACATGTAAAATAAAATGTATGCAAATGATTTTTTGTTTTTTATTTCCCGCCTAATTGAAAAATATTTTTGCACCCAAAATTGTTCAGCCTTTTTACTCCATATAAAAATATTTAAAAGTATGCATTCTTATTATTAAACGCCTGCAGTAATATACACCAAAAAAAATTGAGAAGCAGTATAACCATGTAGAACTTTGTATAATCACAAAAAAACATACCTTGAAAAATAAAAAATACAGCAGATTCATAAGCAGTGTAGAGAGGGAACTACGTAAAAGTAATCGATTATTACTAATAAAATAGAGTTTTGAATTCCTATTTTTGCAATAATAATCACTTTACTACTTTACGTGTTTGGCACTGCACTGCACGGGTACCAACACTGTACTGCCCGGGCACGAAAAATTGAGAAGCATGATAACCATGTAGAACTTCGTATCACTACGTAAAGAATAAAATGGTTATTACGAAAAGTAGAAATAAAAACTCTATTTTCGATAATAGCTATACTATTTTTTATGAGCACCGAAAAAATTGAGAAGCACGATAACCTCGTAGAACTTCGAAACAGCACCAGGGACAACCGAAGGCTACAGAAAAAAACACATACTGAAAAGGCATAACATCTATCAGCGCTGGTATTCGAAAATACTGTTTCCTTTGACATTCGTTGGGATATGAAAACACATATTTGCTTTCCACCGTTATAACGGAAATAATGGTTACTGCAAAAGCAGCTTCACGGTAAGACCATACATTAATCTACAAAGTTGATAATAAAACATATGTACTATTAAAATGCAGATATTTTTAAAATTATACAATTAAAAAATCAAAATAATATATTATAAATGGCAGGGGATACAGGGTAAACACCGAAATACACTTAATTTAGAATAGTTACTTATAATCTCCTCAGTTCTTTGGTCAGCCGTTTGGACAATTTACCGGTGGGTCCTCTATTTTTGTGCATGTAAAAGGTTAGACTATGGCGCTAGCAAAAGAAAACAAAATGCAACAAAGTAGAGTCACTTAATATTCTTGTTGAAATTACGGATAGAATATGGTAGAAAGTAACAATCAGATATTGTAGAAGCCATGTAATTGTTTATTTGTTGAGGAAAAAGTATTTTTCATACGCTGACCATGTTTATATCCGCTTGGTACGCGACCAGATTTTTTCCAAACCTTTGCCCGTAGGGTTCATGAGCCGACGACCAAATGCGACGTCGAAGGGGCATTTTTGGCCAAATTCGGTCGAAACCGATGCTGCGTTCGTACCCTAGGCTAGAGCCTACGGACAGCGACTCAAACTTAATTTTAATTGATTTGCAAAGATCTTGCTAGAACACTTGAGCTAGTGATTATATGCAATTTATCGGTGACGAGCTTTCCTCTAGCATATCTTGATTTATTCAAGCGAATCAATGAGAAACTAGTGAATAAAATTACCTGACAGCCATAGTACAAGTTGGTATATCTACACCTTCTTCTCTTACATTTGGCGCCACTAAAATGTTAATCTCCTTGTTTCTAAAAACGATCAAGTACTTATCTGTTCTTCTTATTAATCGGAAGTGATTCTACGGTGCTATTAAAAGAGTTTCCGTTATATCCCACAACGAAATCCGGCTTTATATGTCTGAACTCTGGTACATGTTCACTCAAATCTTTCAGTACATGGTGCAATATTTTTGGCAGTTGATCTTTCCTTCGTGAATACTAAACCACAAATTTCCTCGTTTGAAGATGAACTGTTGAAAAGTGTGACGTTTATATTAGTATTAATATCTATGACATTTACTTTTTTTAAAATAGTTAAATACTACGATAAACTGGGAATGTGGGATGAAGCAGAAATGTTTCTGTAACCCAATTTAGGTATGTATAGCAAGTCTTACGCAAGACAATAATAAAAACAGATAGAATTTGAGGGCGATTCTTGGAAGAAAAATTCATAGTATTTCTAAGGCAGCACCGACCGGAATGCTATAATTTTAGCATACATTTACATGTTTTAGGTCTAATGATAAATAGAAAGTGATTAAAATTTTAACTTCAATTTTCGTAAAATAGCTGAGATATGCCATCTTGCAGTACCCTAGAATGAAATACCCGACAGGTTATCGATTACCTGATAGTCTGGGTTCTCGCCTTTAGATGGCGCTACATACAAACGTCATCTGTCAAACGTTATGTGTATCATTGATAAGTGTGAGTTGTGTCTCTAAGCGCTAGATGGTGTCGATGTCGCACTGGTGTCGTAGAGTGACCCACATACAGGGGTCGATAGAAATTTTTGGGGGCCCTACCGACGGGCCGATGTACCGACGGGTCGATGAACCGACGGTATATCGTCAGATCGAAATAAGCTCCATTCACATGGGAGGTGTGTGTAGAACTGCTCGTGGGAGACACGGCACCTTGTCGTATATACCAAGACGTGTCCTAAAATGGTGCTACCCATCGGTCGCTCCGCCATACAGGTCGGTCAGACAGAAGTTTTTGGGACCGGGGTGCTCTGATTGGTGGATCAGACGGCGGGAAATTTGAACGGTGTTGATGGTATAGTTGAATGGTGGACGGCGGAGTCGGGTGCGTTGGTAATCACCTATGTCGCAAATGAGGTTAGATAGATAGTCGTTCAGCGAAGGTGTTGTCGTAGCAGTAGCAAGAAGTACTGCGCGCGGGGGTGTCAACGAGTTAATACTGGCCAACGATAACAGCGGTGACCCTGGAACACTGTTGTCACACGGTTGCAATAGATGATAGGTTATCTCTTAATCTTCGTAAACAACGATTTTTCTAAAGTGGTAAAAACAGGTCGAAATTTTAAATACCTATGAATCACCGCAAATTATTTTGTCAGTTATCTGCTGCGAACAAAACATGCTCAGCTCAGACTTATCTAAAAAGTGGTGGGAAAATCGATATTATAAAAATATTTATGAATCACCGCAAATTCTCTTAGACGTGCTCTTATCAGTTCAGACTCAGTTAAAAGTGGTGGGTAAAATCGAGATTATAAATACCTATGAGTCACCGCAAATTACCTTGTCAGTTATCTGCAGCGAACAGACGTGCTCAGTTCAGACTTAGCAATTCCCAACGCTCCTCCGTGGCCATTCCCCTTACCCTCTCGCGAGTGCGCGCATGCGCATGCGGCTCGTTCTGGTCTATAGACATAGGATCGCTAATGATCTTGAAGAAAGATGTCCTGATACCCGAACAGCCAGAGGTACATCAGAAGTAATGTTAGTATTGTGTGTGCGTGTTTTTTGAACACGCTAATTCGTGATGTACATCACGTGACGTACGTCACGTGACCTACGTGACGTACGTGTGACAGGTGACGTGCGTCACGTGACACGTGATGCACGTGGCACGTGACGTGCGTCACGTGACACTTGACGCACGTGGCGTACGTCACGTGACACGTGACGTGCACACTTTGTTCAAAAATACCAAAAAGATGTCTTGATAGCCCGAACCGCCAGAGGTACAACATCAGAAGTAATGTTAGTGCGTGGTTGAGGTTCAAAACTTTGCGTGTTCAAAAAAAACGTACCTAGACCAAAAGTCATTCTAGACCAGTCACTCTAGACCAAAGTACAAAAAAAAAACGCCGTTTTTCAACGCCTTTTTTGTCACCATCCCCCTTAGTAGCGCGCATGCGCATGGGGCTCGTTCTGCAGGTGCTGGTGCTGGCGCGGGCGTACTACGGGGGGTGTAGATAGCGTTTGTGGTAAGGGTTGGGGGTAGGTCTTGTTCTCTTACCACTATCCCAAGGTACACAACAAACAAACTTACTCGTGCGCGCATTTACCTACCCCCAACCCTTACCACAAACGCTATCTACACCCCCCGTAGTACGCCCGCGCCAGCACCAGCACCTGCAGAACGAGCCCCATGCGCATGCGCGCTACTAAGGGGGATGGTGACAAAAAAGGCGTTGAAAAACGGCGTTTTTTTTTTGTACTTTGGTCTAGAGTGACTGGTCTAGAATGACTTTTGGTCTAGGTACGTTTTTTTTGAACACGCAAAGTTTTGAACCTCAACCACGCACTAACATTACTTCTGATGTTGTACCTCTGGCGGTTCGGGCTATCAAGACATCTTTTTGGTATTTTTGAACAAAGTGTGCACGTCACGTGTCACGTGACGTACGCCACGTGCGTCAAGTGTCACGTGACGCACGTCACGTGCCACGTGCATCACGTGTCACGTGACGCACGTCACCTGTCACACGTACGTCACGTAGGTCACGTGACGTACGTCACGTGATGTACATCACGAATTAGCGTGTTCAAAAAACACGCACACACAATACTAACATTACTTCTGATGTACCTCTGGCTGTTCGGGTATCAGGACATCTTTCTTCAAGATCATTAGCGATCCTATGTCTATAGACCAGAACGAGCCGCATGCGCATGCGCGCACTCGCGAGAGGGTAAGGGGAATGGCCACGGAGGAGCGTTGGGAATTGCTAAGTCTGAACTGAGCACGTCTGTTCGCTGCAGATAACTGACAAGGTAATTTGCGGTGACTCATAGGTATTTATAATCTCGATTTTACCCACCACTTTTAACTGAGTCTGAACTGATAAGAGCACGTCTAAGAGAATTTGCGGTGATTCATAAATATTTTTATAATATCGATTTTCCCACCACTTTTTAGATAAGTCTGAGCTGAGCATGTTTTGTTCGCAGCAGATAACTGACAAAAT